CCTCTGTGTGGTTCATGAGCCAGTGTGGGTGAGGTGCCTCGGCACTGTGGGGTCAATCTGGGTAGCCAGTTCACTTTGGCAGGTAAGGGCTGATGCTGTGATCACATCAGCTGATAAAATCATACCCTCCCCCTGCTGATCATAGAGATCTACCATACCCAATTTGGGTGTCACCCTGGACACATGCCACATCCTTGAACACTGACCAGAGTTCCTTGGCCCAACCCAGCACATCCCTCTGATATACACTGAAGGATCAGATATTCCACTAAGCCACAGGGGCATATTTCAAAGATAAAAGCCCTCAGAGGAGAAATCCAACAATTATGTCCACAAATGCCTAAAAATAAATGCAGAAAAACAAAGAGCATGAACAGGAAGACAATATGACTCTCCACAAGGGGCTCAACACTTCAATATTAGAATTTGAAGATGAACAGATTGATGAAATGCCCAAAAAAGAATTCAAAATAATGACTCAAAAACACTGAGAAGCAAATATATGAATTAAATAAATTCATGCATGACATGGGTGAAAATTCTGCTGGGAGACAGAGATACTGAAATTCAACTGAAATATTAGAAATGAAGAATTCAATCTGTTAAATGAAAAATACAGGGGAAAGCTTTAACAATAGGCTTGGTGATGCAGAAGAAAGAACATCCAAACTATAAGACAAAACTTTGGAAACAGACAAAAAAAGAAATTAGAAAAGAAAACAAAAAATAGTGTTTGAGATTTATGAGATTCTTTCAAATGACCAAACATACCGTATCTTATCCTGAAGTTGTAGAAAGATGGAATGGATTAGAAGAACTATTCAGTGAAATAATAGCAGAAAACTTCCATAATTTGGAGAAAGACATTCAAGTACAGGGAGCACATAGAACTCCTAAAGACATGATCAGAAAAGATCTTGAATATTACAGATTATAGTCAAACTTTCAATAGTGTAACATACAGATTCTCAAATGTGCATGAGAGAAATGTTAGATTAACTTCAAAGAATCTCCAATTAGACTGAAAGCTGATCAGAAACCCTATAGCAGAGGAGAGAAAGGAGAGATATAACCCAAGTCCTCAAAGAACAAAAAAATGTCCAGACATAATATTATACCCAGAAAAGCTCTAATTTATAAAGGGAGATGAAATAAAGGCCTTCCAAAGAAAATAGAAATTGAAAGAATTTGTCACCACTCGTCCAGCCTTACAAATAATACTTTAGAATGTGCTACACCAAGTCCAATCTTTGGCCTTGATAAAGGCACTTGGGCTGCAAAAGACCAACAAGGCCACCTCACCAAGGATGGGTGTTTCCTTCTCGGTTCCTGCTGCTTTCTGATACCATGTGTGGGGCTGGTGCTGTGGCTTAGCAGGTAAAGCCTCCAACTCCAGTACCTGCATCCCATATGGGTGCTGGTTTGAGTCTCAGCTGCTCCACTTCCGATCCAGCTCTCTACTATGGCTTGGGAAAGCACTGGAAGATGGCCCAAATGCTTGGGCCCCTGAACCCGTCTGGGGGACCCGGATAAAGCTCCTGGCTCCTGGCTTTGGATCAGCCCAGCTCCAGCCATTTTGGCCATTTGGGGAGTGAACCAGCAGCTGGAAGCACGTGCGCTCTCTCGCTCTCTCACTCTCTCTCTCCATCTGTAACTCTGCCTCTCAAATAAATAAATAAATACAACTTTTTTTAAAAAAAGAATGTGCTAGACACAGAAACAGAGAATGAAAGTCATAATTATGAAAGAATGTGAAAGCTGAACATCCCTTAGTAAAGTACAAAGGAAATCCAAAGCAAACAATAGGAATATTTATGGAAAAATGGCAGGACCAAATTGTTACTTATCAATAATATCCATGAATGTAAATGGCCTAAATTCTCCCATTAAAGTTACATACTAAACACACTAAAAAAATAAGACCTATGCCAGCAAGAAACTCATGCCTACAAGAAACACACCTCACCAACAAAGATATACACACAGACCGAAAGTGAAGGTATTGGAAAAAGATATCCCAAACGGATGGAAAGAGAAAGGAGCAGGAGTAGCCAAACTAATATAAGGCAAAATAGACTTCAATACAAAAACTGTTAACAGAGACAAAGAAGGGCATTACTTAATGACCAAGGGTGCGATTCAACAGAAAGATAAAACTATAATAAATGTTTACATACCAATGCCAGGGCTACTGGCTATGTAAAACAAATGCTAATGGATTGAAAGGAAGACATAGGCTCCAATACAGTAAGAATGGGGGGACTTCAATACCCCACTTTAATCAACTAGACCAAAAAGCAACAAAGAAACAACAGATTGGGAGAAGTTGGGAGAAAAAGGCAAGTATGGTTATCTTTTTAGAGCTGTACATATAAAATGCATGAAATCTGTCCTATGTTAATAAAAATTAAAAAATAAAAATAAACAACAGAGATAATCTACATGATGGACCAAATGGACCTAACTGAAATCTATAGAACATTTCATCCCACAGCTGTAGAATACATTCTTTTCATCAATGCATGAAACTTTCTCTAGGATAGACCATATGCTAGACCATAAAGCAAGCCTCAACAAATTCAAACAAACTGAAATCATTCCATGTACATTTCCTGGCCACAATGAAATGAAGCTGGAAATTAAAACATGAAAAACTCCAGAAAATATGCAAACACATGGACACTAAACAACATGTCTTTGAATGAATGATAGAAGAAATCAAAAGGGAAATAAAAAACTCTTAGAAATGAATGAAGATGCCTACCCAACATATAAAAACTTATGATACAGCAAAACAGTGTAAAAGGAAACTTTATAGCAATTAGCACCTACATCAAGATATTGGAGAGGCATCAAATAATTGGTCTAAGAATATATCTCAAGGAATTCAGAAAACAAGAACAAACTAAACCCAAAATTAGAGGAGGAAGGAAATAATTAAAGAATAAACAAATTTGAAACAAAGAGATACAAAAGATCAGTGCAAAGAAGACCTGGTTTTTGAAAAAATAAACAAAATTGATAGATCACTGGCCCAACAGACCAAAAGAGGGGGGAGGTGGAGGGAATATCCAAATTAACAGCATCAGAGATGAAAAAGGAAATGCTACAACAGAGGCCACAGAAATAAAAAGAATCATCAGGAATTACTACAAACAGCTATATGCCTACAAATTTGAAAAATCTCAAAGAATTGGATAGATTTCTGGATACATAAAATCCACCAAAACTGAGTCATAAAGCCATGGAAAACCTAAATAGACTAATAACCAAAAGGGAGACTGAATCAATAATAAAGACCCTCCCAAAAAAGAAAAGCCCAGGACCAGATTGCTTTATTGCTGAATTCTACTAAGTTTTTAAAGAAATAGCTTCAATTCTTTTCAAACTATGAGGCCAGCATCAGCTTAATTCCAAAACCAGACAAAGATAAAACAAAAAAGAGAACTATAGATCAATATCCCTAATGAACAGCAAAAATCCTCAACAAAATACTAGCTAATCTAATCCAATCACACATCAACTCATTCACCTGGACCAGGTAGAATAAATCTCTGGTATGCAGGGATGGTTTAACATATGAAAATCAGTAAATTGATACATCACATTAAATTGAAGAATAAGATCTCATGATTATCTCAAGAGACACAGAGAAGGTATAAAGGACTAATATAAACTGATAAAGGACTAATATACAGGATTTACAAAGAACTCAAATTCAACAACAAAACAAGTATCCAATTATGAAATAGGCAAAGGACATGAACAGGCATTTTTCAAAGGATGAAATCCAAATGACCAAACATAAAGAAATGCTCAGGATCACTAGATATCAGGGAAATGCAAAGAAAAACCACAATGAGGTTTCACTTCTTCCCATTTAGAATGCCTATCATCACAAATCAACAAACAACAAATGCCAGCAAGGATGTGGGGAAAAGGGAACCCCAATACACTATTGGTGGGAATATAAAATACTGCAACCACTTTGGAATACAGTAGGGGATTCCTCAGAAAACTGAAAATAGATCTACCATATGACTCAGCCACACAACTCTTAGGGATTTACCCATATGAAATGAAATCAGCATATTGTCTATACTCACATGTTTATTGCAGCTCAATTTACAATATCTAAGATATGGAATCAACCCAGATTTCCACCAACTGATGACTGCATAGAGAATGTGGTATATATACACTATGGACTACTACTCAGCTGTAAAAAAAGAATGAAAGCCTATCTTGCAACGTAATGGATGCAACTGAAAACCATTATGCTTAGTGAAATAAGCTAGTCCCCCAAACACAGATATCATCTGTTTTCCCAGATATGTGGTAGTTAATATAGAACAAAAAAATTGTATAGGAATGAAATGGATATGTTGTGATTTGATTGTTGTTTTTAGTCATTGTTTATAATCCTATGGAACCGTCATCTTTCTAGTTTTTACTTGTTGAATATTCGGGTTAGTGTTACATTAAGGCTGTGATTATTGATGGGATTGAAATTATATTTTTGCAAAAAATTAAAAAGGATGGAAGGAAAGGGATTGAGAGAGGGAGAAGAGGAGGGAGGGAAGCATGTTTATCTTCTTAGAATTGTACCTATGAAATATATGAAATGTATTTTCCTTATATTAATAAAAATTTAAAAATAAGTAAACAAATAAAGGGTAGTGAGCTAAAGAAAACTCATGGGTTACATTCTGGCAGCAAGAGAAACAAGAGTTCATCAGCATTTATTAGTACTTCTAGGTATGAAGAGCAGCATTTCCAGATCTTTTCAAATTTCATGTCAATCTTCTAAAATGATTTCAGAAGCAGCACTGAATATTAATGTAGTATTCCTTATTTCAGTGTTCAGCATTTCAATATTGTCCTTGATATCCTTTCACAGAAATGTACATTTGCATGGAACATAGGAAGCCAGATGGACACAGTTTTAAAGTCACTTTTGAATAAACCCCTCTCATCCCAACAGTATTCGGTGGTCTTACCGGCTCGCCTTTGTTCCCTTTCTGTCCAGGTGAGCCTGGAACTCCAGGTAATCCTGCTTCTCCCTGAGCAAAAAAAAAAAAATGAATTTCTATATGAGAAAACATTCTGTTGCACTAATACAAAGCACTAACATAAATATGAAGCTGGAAATAGTAAAGCTAAAGCTTGGCTCTTCTTTGAACTGATGCTCATCTCCATCTGAATGCCTTTTTCCCATTGTTCCTGAGGCTCCAACACCATTTGGAATCATCTCCTTCAGGTACTTAACATGAAATGATGGCCACCAGAATATATGAGAATTTCCTCTAAACTTTCACCCACTCAGATCTCCATGATCCAGGAAGGAAGGAAGTAAAAGTGGATGGGTCAAGGCTAAGGGCACATTAAGTCACAGAGTGCTAGAGAGTACTCTGTTGTAGGAACTAGGGAAAGCTCTCCTTTCCTCAACCATGAGGCCACTCAGCCTACTTTCAGCACAGTCCTTATGATTGCCATTATCATCTATAAGAAGTTGATGTAGGTCCATGGGCCCAGACAGTGACCAGGGGGCAATACTGGCACAGGTCAAACAAATTATTTGGAGTAGTCTCCCTAACAACCTACTGAGAGGAGAGACAGCTGGTTGAAAATACTATGGAAAGTATTTTTGTATGTTTTTTCAACTGATTTCCAAGAACTGCAGCCTATTCTTGACACATGTTAAGTACTCGATATTTGCCTGTTGTACCGGTGGTTCCTCCCTTCATCTTTTTATTCATTCTAATTTATTTGGGCTTAGAGCCATCCACATAAAAATGCAGGAAATCCTACCTCCCATCTCTTTCTTTAACCTTCAGAAATGGAGTGGCTTAGGCAGTGAATTCAACAATCACCGAAGGGCAAGACACATTCTGTGTACCAGCCAAGAAGCCTGGTTGTCTGGAGTGGCTTTTCAGTGGGCACATACCTTGTTTGGAATGCACTGGCACAAGTCTTGAAGTTCTTGCTTTGCTGGAAGATATGCAGACATTTTACCGGCATAAGTTGTTACTGATGATGATGCAGTACTTCCAAAGTCATCCTGCTCGGAGCACTAAAGTCCAAGATGAAAATTCAGGAAATGAAGTCAATTCCAAACATTGGCTACTACCAAACTAGGTATGGGGCTGTCTGCAAGAACTGCCTTCTTACTAACTCAAAGTTGACACCAGTGTGTGAGCCTGTCACTAAGACTCCTCTGTTGACAACACAATAAATGTATTATAAATACTGCCGTCTTAGTGAGGAATTCTAACACTATATTAGGTGACATTATGATATCTATAGCAAGACCATACACTTATAAAAATTATATTCTTACAGTAATTTATACAAATAAAAGTGTATATTTGGGGAATAAAAATGAAATCAAACCATGTCATGAACCCATAAAACACAGTTTACTTCTATAAAATGATTGCAAAAGAATTGTAAAGTAAAAATTTCAGTTTATACTCAATGTTTAATCAAAATATACTTTGTTCTAGTCTATTATCCTTTAAAAATATTGAAAAGTTCTTCACTGAAATAGACAAGTGATGGATTTTGTACCTAGTGGGTTTAGAACATGCTGGACATGGATTACAAAGCAATGAATGTTTTTCACTCAAAAAATTAATCCTCACAGAATGTGAAGTGGAAAATGCATCTTTACTTCACAGCACCTCATACCCAGGGCCTCACATGTTTTAGGACTCTAAATTTGCAGTTTCAGAGAGGGTGAAGATATTAAGGGAAGAGTTCATGTTATTTTGTATATAATAAATTGTTTATGCAGACAAAAGTATTTTTAGGGCACAAAACTAAAATATTGCCAGTGGTTATGCTCTGTTTGGGAGCATGGTTTTTATTTATTTCCTTTTTTGAATTTGGCTACATTTTCCAGGTTTTCTATAATAAATATGCATAATTTGGTACAAAAATTATTTTGAAAATAAGTAGTATTCTAATCCTGTATGCTATCAAGGCAAACCATAATAAAACCAGCACCAAGAAATAAAACAAATTAGCTTCCTATCCTTACCATTAGTTCTTTCATATCCATTTTCTCCAGATTTAATGATTATTTAGTTATCTCAATGTTTCCAAGTCTAAAAATCCAAAAATCATATCCAAAAGAAAGAAGATCATCACTAAAACAGTCAATTCATCTCGTATGACTTGATTTTCCAGGCAGTTATAGCCCCATGGGTCCCAAGTCAGATAACCCTCTTAGAAATTCACAGTTTTGCTCTGCATAAACGAGCCATTAAATTAGAGACTTAGGCTTTTAAAGAATGTCTCAGGATTTGCTATAAAATTAGTCAGACTCTCCAAAGAAAGTATGCAAACTTTTAATTTGGCACATATTCAGTTAATTAGCCCTTAAAATTTTAATTTCATATATAACTTATTTTCAACAAATGTGAGTTTCTTTTTTCCTATTTGTTTGCCATTCCCTCTATGTCTGTACTCATGAACCTCGACTGCTTCAGAAACTGAAGTTCTAACAGCTCTAATTGGAGTAGAGAGGCGTGTTTACAGAGCCACTTGAATAAGTCACCTCTGAAATGCTTCAAGCAGCAACACCCAAGAAACATGTATGATTTAAAATTTCAGGAAAAATTGTATTTTTATAACACATACATTAATACTTTCTGAATGAAAGACATTTTGCAAAGAGTTGAATATAAGAATAGAAGATAAATTTAGATGACTTCTATAAAATTATTTGTCTTCCAAATTGTTTACTCCTATTGGTAATATGCAGCATGTTTTAATTTAAGTTAATTATAAAATGAATGGTGATTTCTACCCCATCTCCCAACAATAATTACCAGCAGGGAAACATACACTTTTATTTTTACATGGTTGGAAATAAATTCCTCCCTTATTTTAAAACTAAGTGCCAAATAATTTTTTAAAATGTGATTTTTTGCAAGTTTTGTTCTTAAGTATATGATTTGTCACTACTTTCAATAATAAACTACTACCTATAATTCATCAGTAACTTAATTTTTTTCATAATTCAGGTTGAAGAAAATGTCCATTTCATAATGACACAAGGAAGCAATTGTTGGTCTGGATATACCACTTAGATATATCAGGATATCATCATTACTTTTTGATCAAAGAAAATTACTATTTTAAGGGCTTTTACATTAAAAAGCATAATTTTAAAATGTTTTAGAAATTAGTGTCTTCAAGATTTCAATGTGTGGCTCCAGGAAGTATAGGTATTTCAAGTCTGTAGACTGGCATCCTAAATTATCTTTTTAGATATTTATAGAAAGTTATTTGGCTGCCTTTCACTTTACTTGGAATGACAGCCATAAGCTAGGTTGCAGAAATGCATTAGAAAGCCAAGTTATATAAGTGAATGAACCTATAACATTTGAAAGACAAAGCTAAACTTTCAGACACTTGGTCACATTTCTTGTTTCACCATCCAAAGTATACTACAGAAATTAAAAATATATTTTTTAAAAGATGTATTTTTACTTTAATTGAAAGACAAAGTTACCGAGATAAAGGGAGAAGCAGAGAGAGAGAGAGAGAGAGAGAGAGAGAGAGAGAGATCCTTCACCCACTAGTTCACTCCCCAAATGGCTACAGTGGTTGGAGATGGGCCAGGCTGAAGGCAGGAGCTTCCTCCTGGTCTTCCAGGTGGTGCAGGGCCTCAAGAACTTTGGCCATCCTCCGACGCCCTCCCAGGCACACCAGCAGAGAGCTGGATCGAAAGTTGAATAGCTTGGACTTGACTAGGCGTCCACAATGGATGCTGACACTGCAGGCAGGCAGCAGCTTTACCTGCTACAACATAGCACTGGCCCCTAAAAATATTTTAATCACAAATGCTTAAAAAACTTTTCCCATAATTTTCTATGGCAATTATGGGATTTCTGGAAAAATCTAAGACCCAAAGAATCACTTTTTCACCTTTTACTAATTGTAAGTTATTTTAGTAAGTTGACTGCATTTATTTTATTTTGGGAAGTTAACTACATTTTTTATTGACACATAATATATGTATGTATTTATAATGTACAATGTTGATGTTTTAATTCACCTAAATACCGGGTACTAATCAATTCAGGTTAATTAGCATATCTATTACCATAAAAATATATCATGTCTTTATGGTCATCACAAAGTCTTCTCTTTTAGCTATACTGAGACATATTGCATTACAGTTAAATTATATTCACCTTGTTGCACCACAGGACACCAGAACTTATTCCTCCTACCAGGTTTGTTTTTAGAATTAATCCCTTTCAAAAACCTGTGTGTCCCATCTACCTCCTTTAGTGGTTGATAAGTCAACATATCAAGAAAAAATGCTATAGTCATGAACAAAATGCAAGGCACAAAAACAAAACATAGAAGTGGAACTCTCCTTAGTGAGTCTAAATTGTACTTGAATAAATTAAAGACACATTCAGTCACAACTAATCACATAAATGGCACACGTGACCACGACAATGAGAGAGATAGAAAGTATCACACTCAGCAATTTCTTGGAATGGGAGACTGGTAAAAGAAAACAGGTTCAGAATCTGTAGGAGTGATTAAGGAGCTGTATTTACATTTTGCCATCACCATGGAGTCACTTGAACTTTGAGAAGAGATCAATAAGGAGCAGGGAAGGAGCTTTATTCATATTTGTTAGTGTAACATCTTAAGGAGCAGTGTTTTTGAGTGATAGATATTTGTCGTGGAAAAAAAGTGAATGAACAGATTAAGCCATGTTTCACAGATGTTTACCACTGATGTTACAAAGATAAAGGACTAGATATGAGGAAAGCAGTTGACGTGGAAAAGCCCAAGTATGAGGTAAAAGTGGACTTTGGCAGTTACAGGGAAAAGGTAGTGCACTTTGTAATAACAGAACAATGGAAGATGAGAATGAAAAAATCGACCACAAAAGAAAACTAGCCAGGATGGATGACAGGCTAGAAAAAGCAGCTGAATGGTATCAGGTGTGATCATTGATGAAAGCTCACGTAACTGCTAAGTGATGATGCCACTGTCAGAACACAGTTTACACAGAAAGGCATAAATTCTCTTTTAGGTATATAGAGGCCAAAGTGAGGGCACGTCAGGCCTGAAATTCAGAGAGCAATGTTGGGATTTAAACTGTGAAAAGGCACTATGGGAGAGCATAAGGAGGCTTCTATCCTTGAAATGAACTACTCATTCAGCATCAGCAGAAGGCAGCCAGTGCCTTTGGACTCCACAGTTCATGTAGCCAAAGGTAACTGGCATTGTGCATGGTCACATCCCAAGAGAATTAGCTTACCTTGGTATCTGATATTTCACAGCATGATTCTTGAGCTATGAAGTTTGCATTACAGTAGATTTTAAGTTGGTGAAGTTCAATCTATCAAAAAATTAGTAAAAAGTATCATCAGGTTTTTTTTTGAGAAACATATTAAGACAGTTAAGAACTCTGATAATGTAGCTGGAAAGAAAAAGAAAGCTAGTAAAAATAGCTAGTAGGTATTTTCAATGTTTTTTGTTTAATTTAGGATTCACTACTTTTTGGACCAGTTTTAGAAAGAGACAGTCACATATAGCAAAAGATCTAGACAAAGAAAATCAGGTAATAAAATTACTGTAAATCTTGGCTAATTGTTTAAGAATATAAAAGTATTTAATTAATGAGAGGTATTATTATACACTACAATGATGTTCACACAATAACAACAAGTATAAAATTCTGGATAAATCCAAGTATAAAATTCTGGAGAAAAAGTCAGTGGTTCAAGATCATGATGGAGAAGGTGTCTGTTATCTGCCATTCCAGACCTCCTTCCTGTATGAGGCACTGAAATTGATGCACAATTCACAGTAAGAAAAATAAAGGTAATTATTTCACGAATTCTGTCTAAAACCTATGGATTATGTATTATACTGGTACAAACCTGAGCAAGAATCCACAATCTTTAAAGAAAAACAGATTTCCTTATATTTGCTAAACAGTTTGATGGAGTTTTTTGACATTTGAATATGAAATTAAGGAAAATAAAGGAAAGTATAATTGTGCCTTTAAGTGGAAGAACCACCACCTAAGTAAATAGTGCGAATTATTGAAAATATGTCAACCTGATAGATGCTCAGAAAGACTGAATTTCTTAGGAACTGATATTGCTTAATATGCTGTATTGAATAACACTTTATATTAGTAGCTATTGATGGGAGCTTTGAAATTAGCTTGTAGTTGCAAATTTAATAATTTAATAATTCATTATATGATGACTCGACATAAACTATGTCAGAAAACAATCCTCTCCACCTTCCTCCTCCAACTCCTTTCTGTGCTTCTGTGCTTCTCTTTCCCTCTCCCTCCCTCCTTCCAATCCTTAATACATCTTTTGCTGTCTCTCAATATAAGAGAATTAGAGTTTACATGACTTTAAAGTCAAGGACTAAGTATATAGAAAACAGACAACTGTGTTTAACTGTGACTCTCTACCCCAATACCAAAAGGCAAAAGACGAACAAAGTTAATTTAACTCATGGAAAGCATTTGCCAACTCCAGGAGCAGATTAGCCTAGCAATTAAAATGCCCATGTCCCACACTGGAGTGTGGTGCCTGGATTTGATTCCTAACTCTGGCTCTTGATTCCAACTTCCCCATAAAGGAGACTCTGGGAGGTAGCCATGATGTTCAAATAATTGGGTTCCTGCTACCCATGTGGGAGATCTGTAATATGTTCCTGATCTAGTTCCAGCCATTATGAGCATTTGGGGAGCGAGTCAGTGGATAGGAACAAGCTCTTTGTCTGGTTCATGTTCTCTCAATCTCCAATAAAATAATTTTTTAAAAAGAACTACAGACATCTTATGTGTTCATAAGCAGCCCAAGATTTGCAGCAATGCAAAATTCTCTGACTCAATGAATTTTAATTATTTCTTTTCTGTAACATCTTGGAAGGCTTTTTAGGTTAACTCTTACTTATACAGTTTTTTTTTTAATTATTATTCTTTTTAAAATATTTATTTGAAAGGCAGAGAGAGGAGAGAATGCACACACAAGCTTGCCCGCTAGCTTCCATTCATAGGTTCACTTCCTAAATGCCTGCCACAGCCAGGACTAGGCCAAGCCAAAGCCAGAAGCCAGGAACTCCATCTGAGTTTCCTATGAGGGTAGCAGGAACCTAAGGCACTTGAGCTATATCATCTGCTGCCTACCAGGGTACGCATTAGCAAGACCTGGATCAGAAGCGTAATACAGCTGGTACTTGAACCAGGTATTCCAGCATGAGATGCAGGCCTTCCAAGCAGCAGTCTAACAGGCTGTACTTACAATGCCCATTCCTGTTTATCTGCCTTAATCCACTGTAGCACAACGGCCATCCTTAAAGTTTAAATGTCGTATCTCACATAGTCTAATGGAACACTGACAGTAATAAACCAGTTATGTAGAAGAATGGAGACACCAATTAATACTATTCTTAACTAAAACTTACCATCATTATCAAAATAACCATTAAATATTGAAGTCTTATTATGTATCACCACCTGCATATGAATTATGTTATTTTAGTAAAAACAGATTTTCAATTATTTAAAGGATTAGAAATTAGGTACCCATGATATTGGAACTATAATCAGCCTAGTTCAACCATATTTTCTTTATTCATTAGTTAATTTGGAATTTAGAATGACAATGCTTTAGAAAATCCAGTTAGGGCTAAATCTATATTGATGCTTGTCAACCTGAAGGCTTATTTTTTAAAAAGTTCCTTCATATCAGTCTTATCGCCTTTCTCTCACACAAAAGCCAATCATTAGAATGTGTTTTCAATAGCATGCAGCCTGAAAAACTAAAACACTCTCACAGGACAGCTGATCTCATGGATCGCAGAGCTTAAAGGGAGATGATGAGAATTTAGCTCACTTGAAATTTTAGAACCAAGAATTATTTAAAATGATATCTTTTGTTTGTGTAACAGTGACTGTGTCCTTTAAAAGCTGCATGATGACATGCCTTCAATTTTATCCTCAAATGAACCAGAATTTGCCTTAAATGATGAAACCACTATAATATTGTACTATAATTTTCATACTGTGTCCTTTTAACAAGGACACACCTGATATTCTTCATTTGTACATTCTGGATCAGTTCTTTCCTTGGTTAAGAAGTCAATGAGGGCCGGCGCCGCGGCTCACTAGGCTAATCCTCTGCCTTGCGGCGCCGGCACACCGGGTTCCAGTCCTGGTCGGGGCACTGGTTCTGTCCCGGTTGCCCCTCTTCCAGGCCAGCTCTCTGCTGTGGCCAGGGAGTGCAGTGGAGGATGGCCCAAGTGCTTGGGCCCTGCACCCCATGGGAGACCAGGATAAGTACCTGGCTCCTGCCATCGGATCAGTGCAGTGTGCCGGCCACAGTGTGCTGGCCGTGGCGGCCATTGGAGGGTGAACCAACGGCAAAGGAAGACCTTTCTCTCTGTCTCTCTCTCACTGTCCACTCTGCCTGTCAATGAGACAAAGGACATAGATCACCCAACTTTCAGAGGCTGAGCAACAAGACTGGATTCTAGTCTTGCAACCCATTCTTCTCTTGCAGCTTATCTCAGTGTGTTCTTGCGTTCTTCTAGTTCCTCTGGATCCAGAGCCCCCTATGATCTTACTAGCCCTGTGAGAATAGATTTGAATTTCAAGCTCTTGTACTTAAGGCAGGTCCTAACACCACTCCCCCACTTCTGGCATTAGAATTCTCTGAATGACTTCCTACCTACCTATAATCCACCTATTGCTACAAGTCACATCCCTGATGTTCTAGGTACTGGTCCTGACTTGCTCCTTTTGCCTTTGGATACACCTTCTGCAAGTTCTCATACTGTTGTTTTTGTGATTGTTATCATTAGCAGCCACATGTACTGCTATAGATTTTAATCCTTCTATTAGCCTTCGAGATCTCTGAAAGGAAGTTTGGTAGTTTAGTTTTGTTTGTACCTTCTTATAACAGAGTTGGATATTATGTGTCTGATCCTGAATAGACAAATAATTCTTCAGAGAACTGACCACATTATAAGGTATTATCTACCTACTCTATCACTGAGAATACTGAGGTTCAGATAAATTAATAATTAACAGAATAAATGAACAGATGACAACAATTAAGCAGCTTGGCTAGGATTTAAAACCTCATCTGTGTGACTCCCAAGCAGCCTGCTGTCCATGATGGGATGTCACCAGGATGGGTAGACTGCTGCTACTCTGGTATAGTTTGCTGGTCATCACTGAGCCCTAGTTATGAAATTCTCACTGATTTTAAAATAATATTTATTATTTTACCTATATCTGTCCATGGGGGCATTTAGAAATAAGGTGGCTAAATGTGTATTTGTACATATCAAAAGTTGTACTTATGATAGAAAATTAAGCTATTTATTGCTTTGTGTGTTCAGATCATTATTTTCTATGCATGATCTGTATTGATTATTTTTGTGGCTTTTTCTATCACTCTATTCACACGAAAATGTACAGATATCAAATTAATATATATATTTCACTTTTTAAGATTAAAGGCCTTGTTCTCTAGGAAAAATCTATATCACCTTATTTCAAATGTAATTTTAAAGAATATTTTCATCTGGAAGGGATTTGCTAGCCAATTTTTCTCATCCACATGACCTATTGATACTTAGTAATTGTATTTTCCTCCTATAGAACTCTGGAAAGTCATTATAAGCTTATGAAAAGTAGTCCACAACACAAAGCAATTACTATTGTGAGGATGAATAAATAGCTTATTGTTCTTGAATGAAAACACTAGATAATCTGGAACCATTTAATTTAAAGTTCATCTTTTCCCAGTCCTCTCTATTCAAAACATATGAGCTTAGATCAAGCTTACATTTTATATTGTATTTCCAATTCTTACTAAAATTTACCTTACCTAATATTATTTTAAAGGCATGACCCAGTTCTTTTAAATTCACAGGCTCGAGAAAATAGGTGAAAATAGAAAGAAGATAATAAATGTGAAAATACTGTCAGAAATACATAGCTACCCTTCATGTATCTGACAGCAAATTAAACAGTGAGAGAAGGGAAGCTATTTCCTAGTAATTAAAGAGGTTTTTAATACGATGTTTTGTGTAACATAGAATGCTACTATTCTCTTTTACAACCAACAACACAACTTACGTCCACAGGCTTGCCATCTGACGCTCGCGCAGCAATGACTGTCCTTCCCTGAAGATCCATGGTGTCCTTTTCGTCAGTCTGCCGGCTCACAATTAAATTACAATCCATATAGAGCGAAATGACCCTGGGTTGTACACTGATGCCAAGTTTATGCCACTGACGATCAAACAAAGAACGCAGTTCTCGGTTTTTAAAAATGTAGTTCAACATATCTCCCTCTGTAGCTTGGAACATAAATTCCACCACCTTCTTTCCACCATCAACTACGATAGAAATCTGTAAAATTAAAAATTATGTTTTATAAAGCAATGTTTGAAATTATTAAAACACAATAGAAAGCTCAAAATACATGTTAGTAAAATGGAAGCACTCAGTAAAGTATTTTAAACACTTGAGTACAACAGGTTTGTTAACAAAAAAGAACAGCAAACAACCAGCTACAAAAATTGCTTAGATATTGAGTATTTTGGTGAATACATTTGTTCTTGAGAGATCTAAGAATACATGTGTTGTATATATTTTATTTTGTAATTGTATTAAAATTCTATAATTATATTTGTAGATATGATACAAGTTTATAATTTTAAATTGTTGGATGTTTCATGTAATTTATATATATTATTTATATTCTATGTGAGCAATTCAAGGTTATTCATTTAAGAGTAATATAATTTTTGTTAGCATAGAAACTGAGATCAACTTTTTTAACCTTTGAAGATTTGCTTGGTGCAGAGAAATTCCTTTATAGAGGACATACTTTTTCCATTTAATTCATCTTCCCATCATAACATTGCGACTATGTTAATAGGTTAAAAGACCAGGGGAAATTCAAAACATTTCAGTGGATATACATATAAACACATATGTATGGCTCCATTAAGTAATTTTGAGGTTAATCTCCCCTCCCTAGAGTGCCTGCACCCCCCTTTCCAACCCAAAGGTTATTTCTTCTACAGACTTTCTTGGGTTCTTATTGTCTTCATGCCTTTATAGGCCCTACTCAATGCCAAGTTTGTCTCTACTACTGCACTTATTCCACTGTATAATTATGTTGTATTACATTGTTATCATAGATGTTATTCTCTTTAGACATATGTTAATGAGAAGTAAGAATTCTGCTTTATAAATCTTTACACTTTTCACACCTAAAATATAGTCTACCATAATTTTTTTTATTGATGGGACAAAATCTCAATTCACCAAGGATTGTTAAACGAAGCAACGAACCATGTTAAAAAATAATATATAACAACAGACATGGTGGGAGGTAAAGAAGTCATTACCTGGGGCCAGAGTTGTGACACAGTGGGTTAAGCCACCACCTGTAATGTTGGCATCCCATACTGGATGCCAGTTCAAGTCCCAACTGTTTGTGTTTTCGATCTAGCTTTCTGCTAATGAGGCTGGGAAGGCAGTGGAAGATGGGAAACAGTGCTTGGGTCCCTGCCATCCACATGAGACCTGAACGGAATTGCTAGCTCCTGGATTCAGCTTGGTCAGCCCTGGATGTTACTCCATTTGGGGAGTGAACAGGCAAATGGAAAAGTCTCTCTGTGTGTCTGTCTCTCTCTCTCTCTGCCTTTCAAATAAATACATCTTCTTTTAAAGAATGGGTTAAGAAGTTATTGGTGAGCTAATTAATGAAGCTGCTGTGAAGGAAAATCAGTGCAAGCATAATTAGATGAAATCTGGAAGTAAAAAAACACTAACCCTGTCTTGCCAACTAGCTTCTCATATTACAGCCTCAGCACGACCTTCCTAACGATGATGATTCTTGCATTTCCCTATAGAGGACGCCTCCAAAAGAATATCTGGATGCTAGTTCGGCTTCCAAATTTGAGATAACTGTTCAAAGACTCACCTGACCAAATCGCACAACTCTTGTGATTCCTTACCTGTGGCATATTGTGCTGGTTTAAAACTTGCCATAGAAACCAACGTTCCTTTTTGGTGCTTCTGCGTACACGAAATGTGGCTGCTACAGAGAACTCCTCAGGAAGGCCTGTGGGAAATATTGTACTGTGGGAGGAAAACAAAGGACTTTTGTGGGAAACTGAAGATGGCAAGGAAAGAAAACATAGGTATGAAGTTCTATATAGTAAAGTATCTCAATGTTTCTCTTGATAAATGTACAGCTGTAGTAACCTAATGGAAATGTGGAAGCAGTCATGCTATCTATGTGATAGTAATAGTCATATTACCTATGTAATTTTCATTCTCATTCTTTTTAATTTTTAAATAATTACTTAATTAGAGGGGAAGAGAGACAGATAGTTAAAAACAGAGCTCCCATCTGTTGGTTCAATCCCCAAATGCCCAGAACAGCTGGACTTGACCAAGGCTGAAAACAGCAGCCAGGAGCTCAATCACACATGACGGGAGGTTCCCAATTACTGGAGCCATTCCTGCTGCCTCCCAGAGTTTTCATGAGCAAGAAGCTGGAATCAGGCGCTGGAGCAGGTATCAGAGTCGGGCATGAAACCCAGGTACTCCGATGTAAGACAGGGGCTTCTTAATCTGAACCTTACCTGCTAGGCAATGCCCTCACTCTTTTTTAAATCACTGTTTTGGTATTTCTAAACCTTAGGGCATGTAAAACTGAGTTTTTAGGCCACAGTGCTATGTTGTGATATCCCTTATTAAATAAGATATTCCAACAGAGGAAAATCTCAGAATTCACCGCAGTCTGACAATAGTAGATTTTAAAGGAAATAAGCAGTGTTTTTGATTTTGTTGATAGAAGTGTGTAGAATTTCAAAGAACACTGACAAAAGGTAAATATGTACTTTCCAAAGATGTTTTATTCTATTAAACTCTTGCAGATTAGTTCCCAATACTGATCACCTAGTACCAATTTAAGACTGATACTACTCTCTCTCTGTATATAACTCTACCTCTCAAATAAATAAAAAAAAAAGACTGGTACTAAATGTAGCAAGGAACTAGTAGCTTATTTTTCATTACCACAGAAAAAATTAATTTTTATATAAAGTGAATAAATTTCATGTATTTCATATATACAGATTTAGGAGCATAATGATACTTCCCATCCCATCCTCCGTCCCATACTCCCATTCTCCCTCTTCCATCCTTATTCTTTCAATTTTTACAATAACATACTTTGTTATTTTATAATCATAAGCTTAACCCTTCATTAAGTAAAGAATTCAACAAATAGAAAAAAAGAACTTCCTCAACAGTGGAGGGCAAGGGCTCCAAACAAGAAGCAAATCTCAAAATATCAATTTTGTTCATATAGGTTACATTTTTGTACTCTATTAATTACCACACAAATGTTTGTCTTTGGGGAGTGGTTTCTTTTTTTTAACTTTTATTTTATAAATATAAATTTCCAAAGTACAGCTTTTGGATTACAGTGGCTTTTTCCCCCCATAACCTCCCTCCCACCTGCAACCATCCCATTCACATCAAGATTCATTTTCAATTCTCTTTATATACAGATCAATTTAGTATATACTAAGTAAAGATTTCAACACTTTGAACCCACACTGAAACACAAAGTGAAAAATACTGTTTGAATATCAGTTATACCGTTAATTCACATAGTACAACACATTAGGAACAGAGATCCTACATGAGGAGTAAGTGCACAGTGACTCCTGTTGTTGACTTAACAAATTGACACTCTTGTTTATAGCATCAGTAATCACCCAAGGCTCTTGTCATGATGTCATGAGTTGCCAAGGCTATGGACGCCTTTTGAGTTCGCCAACTCTGATCTTATTTAGACAAGGTCATAGTCAAAGTGGAAGTTCTCTCCTCCCTCAGTGAAAGGTACCTCCTTCCTTTTTTTTTTTTTTTTTTTTTTGGACAGGCAGAGTTAGTGAGAGAGACAGAGAAAAGTCTTCTTTCTGTTGGTTCACCCCCTCAAATGGCCGCTACAGCCGGCCTGCTGTGCCGATCCAAAGCCATGAGCCAGGTGCTTCCTCCTGATCTCCCATGTGGGTGCAGGGCCTAAGCACTTGGGCCATCCTCCTTTGCCTTCCCGGGCCAAGCAGAGCTGGACTGGAACAGGAGCAACCGGGACAGAATCTGACGCCCCAACCCAGACTAGAACCTGGTGTGCCGTTGCCGCAGGTGGAGTATTAGCCAAGTGAGTCATGTCGCCAGTCCATACCTCCTTCTTTGATGGCCTGTTCTTTCCATTAGGATCTCACTCGCAGAGATTTATTTTATTTTTTTTAATTTTTTTTAATTTATTTATTTTTTTTTTTTTTTTGCCAGAGTGTCTTGGCTTTCCATGCCCAAAATACTCTCATGGGCTCTTCAGCCATATCTGAATGCCTTAATGGCTGATTCTGAGGCTAGAGTGCTTTTTAGGACATCTGCCATTCTATGAGTCTGCTGTGTATCCCGCTTCCCGTGTTGGATTGTTTTCTCCTTTTTAATTCTATCAGTTATTATTAGCAGACATTTGTCTTGTTTATGTGATCCCTTTTACTCTTAATCCACTTTGATTTGCAGTGGGGACTGGTTTATTTCAATAAGTGTAATGGTTTCCAGTAGCATTCATTTTGTTTCAAAAGAGGGGATTTCTTTCGGAAAATTTTTAAAAATTATTTCTAGGTAGCAGAGAGAAGCCACAATCCAAATATCTTTCTACCTCGATCTTACTTCAAATTTCTGGCTTTATTGGACCATGAAGAAACTCAGGGGGAAATATCACAAAACATCTCTCTAATTCAACATTCATTGAAAACCAAAGAGAAATATGTTCCTCTAAGCTGACTTTTAACATTACTCACACTGTACAGGAAAACTATGCAAGGCAATAATCTTGCTTTAAAAAAATGATGGATAACAGGTTAAAATGCTCTTATGTTCAAACTTAGTAAAAAGTTTCTATTCACAAATTAAAATTCAGTACATTGAGATGGTAACTATTAACTTCAAATATGGCACTCAGCTATACTGAAACTGACAACCAACTACTGAAACCAACAATCAAACTGTCAACAAGAAAACTGAAATTCAGTTTTTATCCTTTGTGTTAGAGACAAACTCAGATATGGCAGGGAAATACACACACACACACACACACACACACACAGTGCTTGCCTAAAGTTCTTATTTACTTACTTACTTGATTATGCAGAATACACACATAAATATACTTTTATATATTTCCATCTCCTTCTACTTTGGAAGATTTCTCCTTGATTTATTTCCTAGTCTTGTGTCTCACATCAAATTTTGTTTTGTATTTTTATTTCTGACATCACCTTTGGGTATTTCTTTCAAAATATCCTGAATGCAGTTTTTAATCTTTTTGATTTTAACAATCAGCTGGTTTTAATTTTAATGTTTTTTTGGGGCCAGCGTTGTGGCGCAACAGGTTAGGCTGCCACCTGCGACACTGCCATCCCATATGGGTTCCAGTTTGAGTCATGGATGCTCCACTTTCCTTGCAGCTCCCTGCTAATATAATATGTCTGGGAGAGCAGTAGGAGATGGCCCACGTGCTTGAGCCCTGCATCCATGTGGGAGATCTGGACAGAGTTATGGTTTCTGCCTGGCCCAGCCTCTGCCATTGGAGCGATTTTAGGAATGAAGTAACAGATGGAAGATCGATCTCTCTCTCTCTCTGTTTCTCTCTCCCTCACCCCATAACTCTGCCTTTTAAATACAATAAATCTTAAATATTTTTAATCCTTTTCTCTGCATATCCAAATACTTCTACTTCATCCAAGTTAGCCTTTCCTATTTGACCATTCAGCCTCTTCCATGTTGGAAGCTGTATTCTAATTTCTAGTAATTTTTGGTAATCCATTCATGTTTAAGAATGAAGTACTGTAACTGGGACTGCCAATTACATACACTGTGGTAGTATGCCAATGAGCAAGCCTCACTTGGAGCATGATCAGCTGCTGGGTGTCACTAAGGGCCTTTCAGATGTTAATACAGGGTGATTCATTCTCTGGAGATACTCAGTTTAGCCAAAGAATCTTCCTGTTTTGATTGGTAAATGATGTTCAGTTGGCTGCGAGTATTCTGGAAGCAGAGCAATTTGTGGGAATCTTATAGTTTGCTCTGTTAACCTTTTTTAGTGCCACAGCTCATTACTGCCCTTGCTCCTCTGCTTGCTCCCAGTCTAGGGACGCTTTGTCATTAGACATTCCTCCACCTCCTGTCTGGTTAGATGAGAAGGGAAAATGGAAATGGTAACCTGGGGCCTACACACACACACACACCCCTCCATCACTGGCTTCTGCAGACCCTGCTTCTTCCTGAAAATAACGAGTATCTCAGGGGTTTCGTCAGGTTAACTGGTCCACTTCCATGCCCTGACACACTTTCTTATCTGTTAAGTCAGATACCATTTTTCCAGCTGCTTTCTGTCTTCCAGAATGTATTGTAATCTTCTTTGTTGTTTCATACTTTATTCTATAGTGATGTTTCCATTTTAGTTAAGCCTCCTTCTAAATCTTCAATATTTACAATGATACCTCTATGTTAGTTTACACACACACACACTTCTTTGCTATAAAACAGGTAAAACTTCCCTCAACCTTGTTACACCTACCAAGTATTTTAAATGAATTCTCTGAATAGTGACATCATCAACATCTATTCACTCCTTAACTTACCTTAAAGAAATCCCAATCACAAAATTCCCAGGTCCAAATGGGCTGTACCCAACTCTCATCCTCCTCACTCCTTCTATAGGTTTTAACAATGCTGACATCTTTTCTTCATTCAGAAAACCCAAGAGTGAAAGTCAGGAGTGAAAGCACTCTGAGCTCCTTTGCCTAACCTGCTTACCTTTTTGTTCCCAGTTTCTAGGAACAGTGAGTGCACAATATAGGTATCTAATAAATATTAATAAATGCCCTGAGAATCAATATAAACATTTTTAAAATAAAAACCCATGAGGCTGGTATTGTGGCATAGCAGGTAAAGCCACCACCTCCAATATGGGCATCCCATACACCACTGGTTTAAGTCCCAGCTGCTCCATTTCCTACCCAGTTCCCTGCATGCACCTGGAAAAGCAGTGG